GGATGCACCCGTCTCTTCTAGACTGTTAGTAAGCAGTAACAAGGAATGACAGGAATGAAATCTTTGCCTCTGACTTCCCACAGGGAGCAATTTAGGATAGTTCATCCCACCCTCTCACAGAGTCCATCTGCTAAAATGTGCACAAACAGGCCTGTGTTAATGGATGAGCCTGACAATGTGTGTGCTGTCCCCTCTCGTGGGGGATGGCAGAATCCTGCTGTGCAGTTGCTGGGGAGCAGGCTGCACAGGAACTGTCAGCATTTGGGCTGTGCATGAGGGACTCCTTCCTGGGGCCTCCTTCCCCTCCGGCCCTAGAAGGAGCCTATGGCCCTGGTCCTCTAGGCAGAGCACTAGGCAGCCCCACCCTGAGCCAGGCCCCGACCAGTAAGGTAAGACAAGAACCAGAGCTCACCTGACATTAGCTTTGTCCACTCCCATCCCAAAGCTAATGGTTGCAACAATTACAGGGACTTTCTCCTCCATCCACTCATTCTGCACCAGTGTTCTTTCAGAAGCCTTCAGCCCTGCAAGGGAGGAGAAGGCAGGGAAGGAAATTCACATTTCCCCTGGGTTTCCCTTGGGGTCTACCTTGGGTTTGACACTCTGCTGGGCACTGTACACACATCCTGAATCCATCAGTTACCAGCTGTATGATCTTGGGCCAAGCACTTAACCTCACTAAGCCTGAGCTAAGAAATGTAAAGCCCCTAGCCTGTGTGTGGCACAGAGCACTCAATCAATGTTAGAGCCACGCTTCAAACCAAAGTCCACTGGCCTCCACAGCCTATGCTCTTTTCACAACACCAATACCCGGGCTTATAAAAACTCATCACCTGCTGCCGAGTGGGCAGAAGGTGAGAAAGAGAAGTCAGGAGTCACAATTCTCATTTTAGACCTCATTCGTGTCTACACTCCCTTCTGTGAATTTAAGTGAATCACCTTAGCTTTGTGTGGGTATCTGGAAAAAGATGACGGACCACCTGATTATCCAGGATCCATAAGGAACAAGAGACCCACTAAGAGGCCTCTGAGGGTGAAGAAGACCACGTGGCCTACGTGCCCCTTACCTGCATGGTAAGCCTTGGCGTTCACCCCCCTATAACTGAGCTCTATCGCCAGCTGTTCGCAAGCCTCTCTGGTCCTACAGTAGACAATGCCACAGCCGGACAGCTGAATGGGGAGACACAGAAGAAAATCAGCATCGGGAGGAACAAAGCAGTCAGCTGATTACACTGTGGCCTGCTTTAAAAGAAGCTCTGCGCTCTTTCTCTCATCAGCCTCACAATCTCCTCTGAGGCAGGACACCTAGCAGGGCTCTGGCACTTTCTAACAAAGTAGGACCAAAACAGCTCAAAACCCAACCTACCTAACTCCTCTGCCTCCTCCCCTGAAACCTTGGATAGCTCTGCAACGGCCACCCTCAGAGGGGCCAGCTGCTTGCCTCCCACAGGATTCCAGGACGAGGGAACCCCACTAAGAGGAACAATGTCAGGAAACCAAAGGGACAACCCTCTGGGCACGAGTTTTAAGAAGCTACAGCTAGTCCCGGCTGAGGAAGCTGAAAAACCAAAGGTCTTAGAAAACCAATGTCCATCTTTATGCCACAGATAGCACCCCCCTGCTCCAAGTTTGTCTTGGGCCCCCCAACCTCAGTGCCCTTACCCCTTTATCAGCCTTCTGTCCAAGAGCCTTAAGACAGAAGTCCCTCAGGTTTCCGTAGGGATCGGAAAGCAGTTCCTTGAACTGCACATCATAGAAGAGGTTCGCCCGGAAGCAGGGAGTCTTGAAGATGGCAACTGGTTGCTTCAGGTGCAAGGCAGCAAACACATCCTCTCGGACCTGTGGGGTGGCCGTGGCAGTCAGAGCCACACATGGGGCATGTGCCAGGCGGGAGCGCAGGGCACCCAGACGCAAGTAGTCAGGGCGGAAGTCGTGTCCCCACTGGGAAACACAATGAGCTTCATCCACCACCAGGTAGGAGAGCAGGTGGCGGGACACCAGGGAGTTCAGGGTGGGCTGGAAGGAGGCTGAGGCCGCCATCTCCGGTGTGATATATAGGAGTTTGGTCCGGGGCTTTTCTTGCTCCAGGTCAGAGAGTAGCTCCTTCTTCTCCTGTGCTGAGAGCTTCGAGTTCAGGGAACTCACTTGTACCTTCAGGGCCAGCAAGTGATCCACCTGATCCTGAGGGCAGAAGGAGGAGAGGCCAGAGAGGTATAATTGGCCCTCAGGACTCAGTGGTAAATGTCACTGCGATTCCCTAGGGTATTTTCCAGCCATAAAACGTCCTCCTCCCACCTCCAATATGTCTTCTCTTTGCACACAAGAAGTACAGGTGGGGAAGGGGTTGAGAGGACAGGCTCTGCAGCCAACACACCTGCATTTAATCCCAGCTCACTTCATCGCCACATGCTCTTTGGCTGGTTCTTAACCTTCACCTTTCAATTTTCTCACTCTCTTTCTCTCTCTCTACCACAAAAATAGTAACTACCTAATAGGATTGTTCTAAGAATTAAATAAAATTTTATATCTCAAAGGTGAGTTAATGCACATAAAGCACTTAGCACAAGGCCTGAGACCTAGTGAACATGGAAGGCATTGTTATTACTCCCTGTCTCTCTCTTTCTTCACGGTAGATGGCTCTTAACCACACAGCCACACTTCCTCATTTCTGATTCTATCAGCCCATCTGCAGGCCTTAAATATAGTCAGAAGTGCACAGCAGATGTTAACAGCATCCCAACCAGTTTCTCTTCTTTTTCTCTGTCTCATAATTGTGCCCTTGCCAAAATAAAGCAAGATACCAGGGATGCCCTCCATATCAATTTAGCTGTTTATCCATCTGTATCTTCTACCCTGTCAAGAGTGCATGTGTGTACATATGAGAGTGTGTATGTGTATACAGATACAGTTCCATATTCCTCCCAACAAAAAGTTACAAAGAAGAGTGAGAGACCGCAGGCCATCAAAACCCAGAAGACACATTCATAACCCAGCAGTGTGATATGCACTAGTGGAAAACCTCACATTTGGACAATTCAGAAACCCAACATAGAGAGGGAGATAGGCAAATCAAAGAAAATAAGAGGCAAAAAAATAACAAAGAAAGGAGCAGTAAAATTTCCAGCTATAGAAAACCTTCTCCTAAACATTTTGGGCCACCATCTTCATTCCCCTGGGCCTCACCTGAATCAAAGCAATGAGAGGAGAGACTACGATGGTGATGCCTTTGGCCAACAGAGCAGGGAGTTGATAGCAGAGGGATTTTCCCGCCCCTGTGGGCATGCACACAAAGACATCCTTGTCACCTGCAAAAAAACAAGACATCTCAACGCTTCCTTCATCTTTTTACTTCATCAAGGCTGTTGAAAATTAAATGAGAATGTAGGAAAAGCACCTGGCAGTGTCTGGCATATGGCAGGGTCTCAATATAACATCCAGGGAGATTTGGAAATGTGTACAAACCATTTCCGGTAAAGGCGACAACAACTACAAGGTTAAGAAGTCTGAGTCGGCTGGGATATGGATGACTAAACAGCCACTGAAAGCCGAATATTTCTAGATGAGTGGGCATATCTGTATAGACATGGAAGCAACATCACTTAGAGGTCTTCTGTTTATAAATGTTATAATTAATATTACACTGCTGCTCCCTTCTTGATAACTTCCATTTGTCACCATATCTGAGGTTTATAATATTATTACTCCTTCCTTCCCTATTTGGGACCCAGGTCACTCAATCTTCAACAAGGGGATTACCTAGCAAGTCAGTGACTAGGTTGAGCCATTCCTGTCAACCCCACTACTGCCTATACACAAATGAACAAGAATGGGAATCTACGAACTGTTTTCAAAGATAATCTGTAGTTCTCACCAGGAAATGTAAGAACCAGAACAGCTGGGAGGTTCTGCCAATAAAACGGCAAACTTTGGATGATAAGTCCGCAAGATTTCCAAAACCAATTATGGACCAAGGAAAGGTGAGAACTAGGGTGTTCTGCAGCAGTGCTAGGGTAGAGCCAGCACAAATGTAAACGGAAGTAGTTTGGCAATGTTACCTTTCACTACAGCCATGGTCGCACTCTCCTGTAAAGGCGTCTTAAAAGAGTCAAACCCAAAGACCTTCTTCAACGTGTTCCGGACTCGTCGCCCAGGGTCAAAAGGAGAGGAAAGGTGGGTGCTCATCTTAGCGACAGACAGTGGCCAAAAGTTAAGGCAAAGGTGATGACCCTATGGTTGCCACAAGAATCTTCTGTTCTGCTTGTAAAATACAGCTTATCTTTCTCTATGAGTATAAATTTGCTTTATTACATTCAAGCAACATACTATTTTCAAGCAATATAGCTGCAAGTGAACTACCTCAAGCAATACATTCCTGGGTAATTAACATCTCCACCTTTATGCTCAGTGAAAATAAAAACACTGAACTACCCCAGGCCACATTTTAGCAAAGAGCTAGAAATCAGATCACGAGAGGAAACACAAATGCCTTCGGAAACAGTTTGGAGAAGGTGGAACTGTTTTTCTAAGATCCACCTTCTGCTCCTTCTATAAGCGCAGCCATGATGACCATTCTTCCCCCCAGGACCCCATCCCTTTCTTCCCACCTCCTGGAGGAGAGCTCTTCCCTTTTCCTCCTCTGAACCCCAGATTCGCTCTTTTCTCCCTTCCCCAGCCGAAGCCTCCCTCTCTTCACCCCAAGAAATCAGAGCTGCCCTGGGCCGCCCAGAAGCGAAGGGCTCTCTCCGGGCCGCTGCCGCCTGCTGGGTCGAGAACTACGCAAAGACCTCCATACGCCACCCCCAACTCTGAGAAGCAAAACCGCCAGGAACTAAGGGTCAGGTAAAACCCACACAACCTTGTATCCGTCGCGCAGTGATGACTTCACGAGAGCGCTCTTACAGGGGCGGGGCCAGGCGCAGAAACGGCAGTTTTTATTGGTTCCCGGACGGAATGGGCGCGGGGTCTCCTGGGATCCGGAAGAAGTCGCTTTTCCGGAAAAGCACGGAAGTCGGCTTTTTGGAGTCATTGGGGTGAGCCGCGCCGGGACTGTGGGTATAAGATGGCGGGGAAGAAGAGTGTTCTGTCGTCTCTGGCAGTTTACGCGGAAGATTCAGAGCCCGAGTCCGACGGCGAGGCTGGAGTCGAAACGGCGGGCAGCGCGGCTGGTGAGGCCCGAGTAGGGAGCTGGAAGGGGAGAATCAGGTGTCTGCTCGGAATGCTGCTCCTCGGGCAGGGCAGTAGGGAAAGAGGTGGTCGTTGTGCCCCAAGTATCGGGCCCCGGAGCCCCGAAGCGCGATCGGGGTCCTGAGTGGGCCAAAGCGTAGGCGCTCTGAGTAAGAATGGACCGTCTCCTTCCATTGATTCGATTATTCTGCCGAAACTTACTGAAAGTCTTCCGTGCCCAACATCGTGCTGGGTAGAGAGGATTCAAGGCTACTGAACCACTGCCTGTCCCTCCGGGCTTGTTTGATGGGGGAGAGCGATGAGTAAACGTACGTGGCGGGTGATAAGGGTTGTGTCTTGTTAAATTTATAACTTTTCATTAGGAATGTGCCCTAGACGCATCTTGGAGCTTTTAAAAATACGTATGTATCTGGTCTCCACTGCGAGAGAGTCTAATTCCATAGATCTGGGGTAGGATCTGGGCATTTTGTGAGAATTGTAAGGCTCCTCGGTGATTCCATTACTTTGTGAGTTGTTAAAGCCCATCAGTGATGTTGCGGGCTTACTCTGGTTGAGAATCACAATGTTAGGAAATGGAAACAAATTTCTTTGGGATCATAGAAAAGGGAGTAAGTTGCCTAACATATCTGGGCCTTGGTTTCCTCATCTGGAAATGAGGGAGAAACTAGACTAAGTTAGCTACTCTCAGTTTTGTTTGGTCTGTTTTCAGACAGCAGGTTCTCTAATGGTTTCCCAGTAATTTGTAGGGTTTGGGGTTTTGGTGTTGTTTGTTTTGTTTTGAGCATAGAAAAAGATTTTACTTCTCCAGTAGGTGTAATTGGGAACCCTTTGGAGTGCCCCCTGGTCAAGGTCCTGTTTCTAGAGGGGGACACACAAAAATGAGGAAGGCAGAGTTCTTGTTTGTATGACAAGACGAGTTCACTGGTGCTTATGATACAAGGTAGCGATATGCATATCAGAAGAGGTGCTCAAACAACATGCTATAATATAATAGTTCAGGGAAGAAAAGGCTTCACTTGGCATAGTATGTGGATTGGAAGCATTGGAAACAGAATGTAGTACTTGGTTTTCTCCTCATTCTTTTTAGTGATTTCATACACTAAATTGTGGCCTTCCCAAAGGCAGAATCTGGGCCTACAGTTCCTCACATGTGATTTATGCTCCCCTTTTATTTTCAGAAATGGTTCTGGCCATTCAAATCACTGAAAGATTTTCTTGCATTTTTTTCCCCATTCATCCATTTTCCCTTTTTTCCTCTGTTTCAGAGGAGAAAGGTGGATTGGTATCTGACGCCTATGGAGACGATGACTTTTCTCGCCTCGGGGGTGATGAAGATGGTTATGAAGAAGAGGAGGATGAGAACAGCAAACAGTCGGTAAGTAAACCTCTTCCCGAATCCAGACCTGCTCAAAACACTGTTTCATTTCTCAAAAACCTAAACTGTACTAACAGTGTTCCATTTCGTGCCTAACTTCATCCCCCGTCCCCCTCACCTTTCATTTGGCTTCAGTTGAGGAAATTAGGCTGATATCAGTATTTCTGTTTGAAAATCAAATTTGTTTTCACCTCAACCATTTTGTATTAACCTTTGAATCCAAATTGGGGAAAGAAGATGGTGGATTATTTTATTTAACCCAGATATTAATGTTGGTTTCCCTTGTTTAGATAACTTACTCCATTTGTAACAGTGCATCGTCCTAATTGGTGTGTCATTTATATCTACAATCAACTCTGTTATTTTTAATCTTGGTTGGTGCTCATTCACATCTTTCAGTTTATTAAAAAGATTAGGAAGGAAAATTATTTTGTTTTTATTTGTGGTTTGATCCTTCTTAGCTTCTTTCTTGACATTTTACTTGGCACTTTTTATCAGCGTGCCCTTGGTTCTTGATCACAAATCTTACCTGAAAGATTATGGGCTGGCTAACAAAAGAGAATTTGTGCCTTAATTAACCAGAAAGACTTTAGATACACAATCACCTGGGCATCATGAGCCAGAATTGAAAAAGTTTGGACAAAACACAAGGATTCAGGCTGGTGCTTAACGCAAAGACATACAAAGTTGAATCTGGATATAGAATTTGGCTGTTTAGCAGCAGCTTTAATTGAAACATTCAATGTACTTTATTATTTGTTTGAAAATTTTGTTACAGCTTGATATTTGAGTGTTAGAATTAAAATACTTTCCAAATTAAAAAACATTTGTTTTGTATTTTATGCTCTTTTGGGAGATATTTTCATGCCCTTAACCCCACCATTAATGCTGATAATTCAGAACTGACTGAAATTATTTAGAAGAGCTTTGCAATTTGTTTTCTTTTCCTGACTTTTCTGAAGTGCATACATACTGGCTTAACATCCATAACTATTTTCTTCAACAAATGTGCATCGTATGTGTTTTTGAGCTGTTGTTCCACATTTACTTTGCTTAGAATTTTCATCATATTTAAGCTTTATTTCATATTTTAGTAAAATCCTCTCATCAAATCCCAATATAGACACTCTAAAATGTGATTGTATTTGGCTTAGCTGCATCTCTGATTATTTGGCGTGATTGATTTCATTTTAAGGAGGTTATGGAGAGTGCATTTAAAACCTGTGGCCCACTGGCGTCTTACAAGACAGTTAAATATCAAACCCGTCAGTATAGTTTGTTGAAGCGTCTCAGGTGATGTTTGTATTAACATCTGGAGTGCTGTTTAATGTTTGGGTTAAAGTGTAGCTCGATTGAAAAAAGCAGTTTCAAATGAAACTTAATTTTTTCCTGGGTTTTACCCTAGAGGTTCCTGTGCCTTGGGAGTGTTCTGGGTAGTGGAACAGATCAGCTAACAGGGTAGCTGATCTTTGACCTGCGTTAGCATTCAGCAGAATGGTGGGCTAGCTCTGGTGAGGCCAGTGCACACTTTGGAGGATGGCTGGCCCCTGTGGTGCTGTGTGGCAGGCAGGCCATTTGGATAAGGAACAAGGCTGGATAGAGCCTTGGCAGTTGTGTGAGAGCTTGGATGGAGGCAAGGCCTACTCAAGCCTTTCCTGAGAAAGGCTGGACATGGTCCTTTAGTCCTGCCTTTCTCGGGTCACTTGCTCTGGTCATTTGATGCCTCCCTTCCTGCTGTTCATGTTGGTGCAAATGCTATTGGGTTGAAGTGCTGGGGTCTAGTTGTTGTGCTGGAGTATATGGCACACTGATGGCAAACGATGTCACGGTAGGTCTGAGTCTGATGTATTTGTGTATATAAAAGGCAAAGAAGGACAAAAAGCTTCATATTCCTGGTTTTAAGTAATTGATATTTCATTGGAAACACTATGCCTGTTTTGTCCTGTGGGGCCTGGTCTTACCCTTTTCTGAAGCATATTGCAACCTTTCTCCATTTTTATGGCTGTGATTTTTAATCTCAGGCGTTTTCACTAATGTAGACTATGGCATTGCTGGAATAATGACTTTGAGCTGCTCATGTTCTTGTATTTCCCCCAGAACATCTTGTTTTTCCCTTCTCTTTCTCCAGTTCTGGGTCATATGGTAGGGGAGGGGTTCTTAGTGGGATGACCCAGGCTGGATAAGTTTGCTCCAACCCATAGTTATGCATGTGAGAACCCTCAGGCCCGCTCTTTTAAGCTTAATCCTCTAAATTCTTTGTCTTGTAGGAAGATGACGATTCAGAGACTGAAAAACCTGAGGCTGATGACCCAAAGGTATTTGGTGTTGGCTGTGGTGGGGTGGCTGGATGCGAATAAGGCATTTTAACATTATGGCTCAGTTCATATGTCTGGTCACGATCTGTCCCACTAACACACTACACAACCATGTGTAAATTTTCTGGGGCGAAACCAGCTGTAGAGAAACCTGGCGACCCCCCTGGAATGAGTAAGTGCTGAGGCAGCTTGGATTTCCAGCCTCGCAGATGGTGCCTTATGTCCAGACTAGAAAGGCTCTTGAGAGACCTGGCTAAGTGCAGCAGCCCACCTGTGCTCTGCACCCAGGTGGGCTTGGTGGGGTCACTGCTCTGCAGGTGAGTCAGGTGTGGGAATGTTTCTAGAATCAGGAAGCCACGAGAGCTGCCTTGTGTACTCTGGGTTCTCTTTAGGCGTCTGGATGTGAAGAAGGGCCATGAGCAGGTCAGACGAGGTGAGGCCTCTCCCCCCCTGGCTGTCGCAGATGCTACGCCTAATTCTTGTTTTCCTGGGCTTGTACGCTCCCACTCTTGGGTGAACTGTACAGACTGGTCTTTTTTTGAAACAGCATAGCCATTTCTTCTTACCTTTCCTTCTCGGTAGCAGCCGAGAGTAATTAGCTGCGTTTCCTGTCACACTACTTGACCTCTTATGTTGAAGGTTAAGGCCTCCCTTGTGTTGGGCAGGCTTGCTGTACTGTGCACTGGGCCTTAGTCCAGGTGTGCCTGTTGAGGAAACATTCTTTATGCGACAAAATTTTTTTTTTCCCCAAAGAGAAAGACTAATTTCATCACTCTAGGCCTGAGGACTAGGAACCGAGTTTTGTCATTAAAAACTGCATTATGGGGGCCAGCCCTGTGGCTGAGTGGTTAAGTTCGTGTGCTCCACTTTGGTGGCCCAGGGTTTCACTGGTTCAGATCCTGGGCATGGACATGGCACTGCTCATCAAGCCATGCTGAGGCGGCGAACCACATGCCACAACTAGAAGGACCCAAAACTAAAAATATACAGCTATGTACCAGGGGGCTTTGGGGAGAAAAAGGAAAAATAAAATCTTTAAAAACTGCTTTGAAACCAACTGAAGCTTTCAAAGTAATGTAGTAGAATTTATTAAAGTTGTACCCAATTATAATCTAAAACAGTAGTATATCCGAAAATATAGCATGAGCTCTTCCAAATTTGAACTGAGTGTGTGGTTGGATAGGACTACGTGCAGCCACTGAAATAAACCCATGAAAGGCTATGAAGGATACAGATAAGAAAACATTTTACCAAGAAAGAAAGTTTTGGCACCAGCGTGCAGGAGAAAGAAAAAAAGTGAATCCTGCAAACTGCAAATGCAGGCTCCTTTCTATGCCAAGTGAGGACCCGAGGCTTAAGAATTCGTCTAAGTATTACTAGCAGGAGGGTAGATGGGTGGTCTGGGTCGAGGATGCTCACAGCTCTGCTTGGGCTTGCAGAAGGAAAATGGTCAGCCACATTAGTATTCATCTTCTGTCTTAGTATTTGGGGCGTGTGGGCCTTAGAGCCTGTGTGTAAAATAAGCCCAAGAAGCTGCCAAGTTTTGGGGCTTCCTTTGTGGAGGGAAAGGAGGATTTGTGGCCTGGAGCCTTGGGGTGTCCAGTTGCTGGTCTTTGCCTGAAGCTGCAGCCTCATGGGGAAGTTGGTTGGAGAGCAGGGTGTGTGCACTTAACTGTCACCCCTTCTGGAATACAGTGACACAAACCAGCAAATTCCCTGGAATGACATGTCTTTATGAGAGAGGAGGAAGAGCAAAAAAGGGCAGAATTGGGAAGTTTGTTAATGTGTGTTTTGTGCTCAGCCTCCCCTTTTTGCAATCCCACACGAAGGTTGGAAAGACATGTCATTTATACTTACTCCTTGTCTGATGTGCTTTACTGTGTTTCATTCAGTCATTTGAATTTCAAGTCTGATTGTTGAATGAAAAGTTTTCATGGAATGATTTCTGTTCCTGCCGCGGAGCTCGCAGAAATCAGAACACAAAATTCAGCTGTCAAACTAACTTGATGTAGTTGTTTTGGAGGGTGAGCATGGAGGCAGTCAGGTGGAGCTCTCCAGCTCAGATGTCCTCCAGTCCCCAGTGGCTAGAAGAGACCCACCGGGGGACAGAAAGACCATGAGTCCTCAAGGCATCTCCAAGAATTGGAAACAATCCCCAGCATGAGTCCTGTGTGCTCCCTTTGTCTTAGTCCTGGCCCTGACTTCCTCTCCTGCCTGAGCTGGCTTCCAGGTAGCAGCCTCCACCTCAAACTCCTCTCGACCCTCCCTCTATTCTGGAACATTTAAATTTTATTTCAGTTGATACTCAGTATTTTTGGAGTCTAAACCCTTAATTTTTAATATTTCTGCCTTAAGTATGTGAAGTTTCTAACATTAGGATATGTTACTGAAGTTGTCATTTATTTTGTCCTCAAATGGATCGATGTCGTAGCTGTCTTTCCCACTAGGTGGCACTGCTTCCTAGTTTGGTTTTTTAAGATGTGCTTTTAATTTTTTACTGTAGCAGTTCTGAAAATATTTTGGTTTCTTTACACAATTAATAATTAGGATCCCAAAAAACTTTTGATCTTTTTGGCTTTATTGATATTTATTATCTTAGGAGTTAAAACAAAAATTTTAAATTTTTATCTATTTTAAAATAACCAACCTGTTACATATTATAAATAACATTTTTATGAGAAATGACTATTTCTGGAACCAAAAAAAATTAGTACAAAGAGTGGCATCATTTTACCATTCTACAGGTCTCCTTAATGTCTGATGTCTAGCTTAATAGACAGCTAGGTTCTCATAACTGCTTCTGCATTTCGTTTATTGAGATACGTTGTTTTGGTTGAAGTATTTGAAAAATACTTAGAAGGGTCGTGGCAAAGAGGAGAGGTATTTTAATAGCCCTTCGGGTACTTGTGTATATTCTTTGATACTTCATCAAAACTTAACACGTGGTAGTTTCCTAAAGGTTGGTTCATTGAAATGTGGAATGTGAAACCTCATCACTGAACTTTCTGTGTTAGAATCCACGGTCTCTCCTGCTCTTTGAAGGGTCCTTTTACCCAGCCATGATGTGATATCAGCAGACTCTAGCAATTTGGAAAACATTGGCTCACTGAGTTATGCAGATCCCCTAAATGCTGACACACTCTGTTCTATAATATCCAGAAAAGTCGTATTCATTAGTGACATTACTGATCTCATCAGACAAGCTGTTAAGTATTGGAAAGCTGCCATGCTCACAGTGGGGAGTACACATTTCTCCAGGTTCTAATTTTGCTTGAGAGCTTGAATTTATCATTGCCAATCGGTATTATCAGAGTTTTCCTTGAAGTGACATGCTTCATATTTTTTTTTGAGAAAATGTCTGCCAAATACCCACGTCTGCATAACTATGGTTTGTCTGTCAGTCATTCTTTCAAGTAAAAATGGTGATCCCTGAACAAAGCAGCTAGTTTAGCTTGTAACTCAATCACGTATGTGCTTTTCCTCAAGACAGCCATCATACTTCGGTATGTGCAGAAGTGTTTGTGCTTACCTCTCATGTCACCACATGAAATGCCAAAAAAATCGTCCTCAAGAATCAAGGTTAATCATTTTTACTGCTTCACTGAGGACATTCTTAAGTGAACTTTGCTGTTTTTTTTTTTTTTTTAAATGCTATTGCCTTGATTTGTTCTAAAGGGCCAGCAAGTTTACCCACCATTGCTCCTGTAAGTGTCAACGCAGTGAAAAAAGCAAATAATGTCTTAGTATTAGGAAAATAGCTTTGACCTTGCAGACCCCCAGGGGTCCACAGATCAACTTTGAGAACAACTGTTCTTTCAAAGCAAATATCTTGGGTCAGTGATAGAAAATAACTGTTTGATAACTGCTTTCATTGCTCTGTGCCGGTGCATTAAGCTGTCAGCCTTATAGGGCCTTGAGCTGCCCTGGGAGCAGTAGAGCATCCAGTGTAAGACGAGCCAGCCCAGGTCAGGGGGAGAAGTCACAGCTCTAGAGTCCGAGACCTGGGGTGAATTCCACCTCTTCTTGGGGAAGTCCCTTAACCTCAGTGTTTCCCATCTGGAAAATAGGCATCATAATAAAATCTGCCTCATTTATTTTATGAGGATTAACTAAACGTAAATGAGTACTTAGCTGCATAGTGTCTGACACGTCTGTGTTCAGTAGCATTAGTTGCAAGAAGCAGCACCACCTCTGCTCCCTTTCCAGTCTGGTTTTGGAATATCGAAATCCGTGTTTTAAACTGGAGTGCACTCAGACGGGAGGAATCGTGAAGGTGAGGGGCCTGGAAACCGCAGCCTGTGAGGAGAAGCTGAAGAGCTGGGAGAGAAGACTAGGGAAGAGCCAGCAGTTCTGTCTGCGGTTGGAAGCTCTGGTGCAGGAAGGGAGGTGGCAGCTGGATGCAGAACTTGAAGCAGTGCATAGAATTACACAGAAGTTTGTCTTCACGTAATGAAGAACTTTCTGTCATCTCGGGCCACAAGTGGATCGAGCTGCTTCAGGAGGTAGTGAGCTCCCTGTTTCTGGACCTTTTTCAGACAAGTTTTAAGAAACTATTTGTCATGAATGTCATAAAAGGAATTTGTGGGTTAGGGTTGAATTGAACCCCCAAGGGGCTTCCTGGAAAAGGACTTGGGCATTATGGATAAGCAAAGTTGAGTGTTCTCTAACTTCATTATCTGTTGACTTTAGAAAGTACAAGTGTCGAGTGTAAAGACTGTGGAGATGGCCCGAATTTTTATCACTTGGATGTTTGGGTGCAAAGTCCCATATTTGAGAGTCTGACTAAGATGATAACTCCAGAGACTCACCTCTAGGGAGCCTTTTGGTCTTGATCCATCAGCCCAGGGTGGCAGAGATTGGGCTCTGGGGTTGCTGAGTTTGCCCTAAACTAGAGAGAAGGAGATTGGAGGAGGTGACCGAGCGTTCCACAGCAAACGGAACTCTTTGACTCTTCTGTTCCATCATATCATTTTCTCTCACTTCAATTTTCTTCTACGGGC